TTTTGTCAATATGCGAGGGGCCGCAAGTCACCTCATCCTTTGACTATCTTATTGTTTTACTTGCAGAGTTCACTTGTAACCGTTTTTACTATTTTTAGTAACTTATAGTATAGCTCAAATTGTCACTGTTGTTAGTATTTATAGTAAAATTTAATGATCATTCACAATACTTATTATACCCTTAAAAAGTGAAAGGGTATTTTACGTAAGTCTGTATGTTACGCTTTGGTATACCAATCTCTTATCTGCAACTCCTCTTTTATCACTGAGTGAAATTAAATGAAACTTTCACACAATCTTTATTAGATATTGCTATTGTGCACCTCCTATCTTATTTTTTGATCCGACACATATTTTGGGTTTCCCCGCCACAGCATAACATAAACTTTTCTGTTGTTATCATTTTGAAGGCGGGAGGTAACATTTAGTGAGCCCATTGGTCACAGTACCTCTACTTCAGTGAGAGGACGGCCATGCAAATTGAATGTAAAAAAACATAAAACACTATCACCGCAAAATAATTGTGTTAAACATATAATGCTTAAAAAACTATAGTTAATTGTATATTGAATACTGGTATATAATTGTTATTCAACTTGAGTTGATTGTATTGACTTTTGCCAATCTCTTTGACTTTTGATTTATCTCTTAAGTTCTTACAGAGGTTGCAACGTTGTACCATGCCTTAGATCACACTAATAATGCAAGATGGATTACGAATAAAGAGCAACTGTTTTAAAAAAAAGGTATATAAAAAATATACTGAATATACATACATTCATAGAAATTCAGTAATATTCTTTTTAAATTGATTTTAAATTGTGGGGTTGACATACCTAGGAAATCACTCATTTTAATATCAATATGGTTAAGTAAGAAGTTAATACAAGAATACCATGAAGTAAAACCATTTTGGTGTAGTGTTTTAGAGCAGTTAAAAGCCTCACTAAGCAAGGGAAATTCACCATCTAGATTCTCTAATCTATGCCAGTATAACAACATATTTTTAATGACATCAAAATGTAAATTCAAACGTCCTGGCTCAGATCTTACAGCAAAATTGCTGCTTTTACCATGAACCATTAGTAAATGTTTGTAAATTTTAAGATTTAGAATTCCGCCTTCTAAGCTTTTGTGAATTTTGTTATATTTGGATTTCTCTTAAATTAAGAGGTTGTTGGGTAAAAAAAAAACCATAACTCCGAACCATACAGAATAATGGGTTTAATAGTGTGGTCAAATACATTTAAAGCAGTTCTAATTGATGCATGGATTAAATCTTAGAAAGTTTTTTGAAGTTTGTAATAGGTTTTTTGGCTTTGTTACAACAATCATTTTTAGCATTTCTTAGTGTTACAGATGCATTAACAGTCAGACCAAGATACTTGTATTGTTTAACACATTCAATATAGTTGTTATCCAGATGGAAGGGAATTTTAACGTGTTTACCAGATGAAGTGAACACTATAATTTTTGTTTTCTTTGTATAAACTTTTAAACACCAGTCCTTACAGTATGTACTTAGTATATCGAGTTTTTCTTGTAGACCTTCAGCAGTTGGGGAGAGAAGTACCATGTCATCAACATACATTAGGCAATGAATGGACATAGATGAATCATTGTTTAATTTTACAAACTTTTAGAATTTGACAGATAATTTGATTGATCATTGAGATAAATCTTGAATAGGTTTGGGCTTATGTTATCACCTAATCTAACCCCATTGTAAGAACGAAAGTGACTGATTAATTTGTTACTTAGTTTAATAGAAGAATAGCTTTAAGAATACATATCCTTAACAATTGAGTAAAATTTAGTGCTAATACCAGCTTTTAGTAGTTTAAGCTTTAGACCAGCATGGTTTATACTATCGAAGGCCTTATGAAAGTCAACAAAGCAAGCATAAAGCTTCCCTTGTTTTGATTTGCAGTGTTTTACAACAAGTGTTTTCAAGACAAAAACATGATCTGAAGTTCTAGCTTGTTTTGTAAATCCTATTTGACAAGGATTAATTTTATCATTGCATTTTAAATATTTATCTAATCTTGAGTTAAGAATATAGTTAAACAGTTTGCCAATTGAGCTGGTTAATGTGATTCCTCTATAATTGTTGGGATCAATAGTGTTGTTAGATTTGTATACTGGAGTAATGTACCCTTCACACCATTAAGAAGGATAAAATGCTTGAGTTAAGCAACCATTAAAGATTTTCAGTAATATTGGTACCAAGACCGTTTGACCATGTTTAAGCATTTCATTATATATTTTATCAGTACCAGCTGCCTTACCATTTTTTTAGTTTACCTATTTCTTTACTTATTTCATTGAGAGATATTTTGTAATCAAGTTCATTAAATATGGGTGTTGTTGTTTTTTCAGCTTGTTTTAGTTGGTCTTTAAGAAACTGATCTCAATCGAGGAAATCCTCATGAGTTTCATTCAATTTTTTAAAGTGGTTTATTAGAACTGTTTAATAAAGGCTCAATAAATCAAACACCATGAATTGTTTTAGATAATACCGAACATATTTGTCTTCACTTCTGCATATACTTGTATAATTTATAGCGATTCCGTGATCCAGTGGTATGTCTCCCGCTTCACATATGAAAGGTCCCTGGATCTCGATATATGTATACATTTAATAATTCTACTAATTCAGTCAGGGGGATCTGACTTTTTCCCTAAGCGGGGGACACGAATTCTCTGAATTAGCTTGTTTTATTATTAAAGCCCGCACGTATTGTACCTATACAAAATAGGTGCCTTCTATATTTTTAATAATCAAGTACAAAGTAAATACTATCTTTCAAAACTATTAACAAAAAAATAGGTTGTAGCAGGCTTGAGGATTCACCAAGGGTGTATTATCTTTCGCAATACAGAACATGACATATTTAAACGGACACAGTCATCGTACCTTATCAAATAGGTTGTGTCAGGCTTGATCAACAGGTAAGTTTTCATTGTCTCTTTAATATTAAGCAACAATTTTTCGTTGTTTTTTCCCCTTTTTTAAAAATACAATATATACATTGCATGTTTATCAGATTTTAGTTGTTAAAAATCATGTGAAATTTAAACTGTACTTTTTAACGTACCATTCTTTTTTTATCAAGAAATGTGTATTCAATGATTTGAATTATTATTTAATGCTTTATTTTCAAAAAAGAATAAATGTTAAATAAAATCTTCGAAGATATTTGTTTGAAAGAAAGCAATTTAATGTACATTAATCGTAAATTAAGATACATCTGGCCACCAGATAACACAGAATTTATGCACACAAACACAACTAATAAGTACTTATCTAAGTTGCCCTTTCAAAAGTGTAGCACATGTTTTGTCATTTAACAATCAATAATGAACTACCTCACTAACTTGACAGTGAAATCAATAATGTGCAGCTATTCCGAGGTCGTAGAAGCATTGTAGTGTTTATACAGAAAATCTATATTTGCTGACTTAGCGCACGATACCTTTTTGTCTTTTTATTGCCCGTGGTCTTTAAATACCTTAATCATGTTAATTATTGTTTTGTCTTTTTTTGTAAAACGTGTACATTTCACATTGATGATCACCTCTGATCTGCTTTTCAAAAGCTTTGTTGTTCAATATTTTGGTTTGAAATATGTAACGAAGAGGTTTATATGTGCTATAATATTTCAAACACTCAAAATATATGCTCATGCTATAAAACTTCTCCAGTTAAGAGTCCTCATTAGCATAATTGCAGTGAAAATGATTTTTTGCTCTTAAATTTGAAAGATGTTAAATTGTATGTGTTTACCTTATAACAGGTCAAACGTATCACTACCATTGAAGACAGACTATGCACATTAAACGTAAAGTATACAAAATTTTTGGATCATATTGCTAGTTTTCTCGTTAACTTTAATATTAAGAATGGATGTAAATGGACTGGAAAACAAACTGAAAGAATATTTTGCTGTGTCTGCACATCCTCATGATAATAACGAACTGTTTACAATCGTCGGGAAATTTCTTCCAGGAGATTATAAACATGGAAAAGTCCGCAAAGAGCTGTCGATATTTCAAAAAAGACTTCAGTATTATTTCTCCCTATTCAAGGCGCAAAAATTTAGACCGGAAATGACAGTACATGAGGCGTTCAGACGAGATATGACTGTTCTAGAAGATGGACGGTTTCCACCAACTCTGCGCGAGTTATATGCGATAAGTGAGTTTCTGGAGCAAAAGATCATACTCTTGAAAATTACTGCTGGTTGTGAAACAGTCAGTGGATTCTATATATCACCGCTCCTAAGAGAAACGTCGAAAACCGACAAAATTATACTTCTACTCACTTTTGTAAATGGTGAACCGTACTTCCAGCATCTTGAAGGAGACGCAAGAAACCTTACAAAGTGTCAAGTAACATTTATCAATGAGAACCATGATTTGTGTCTTGATAAGCGATTCAAAAATTCATTTCAAGAACTAGATGCATTATTCATTTTAAAGAAAATTGAGGGACTGACTACAAGTTCTTTGGATGAAGCTATGACGACGATCACAATATCCGAAACAGATAAAACGAACATTTTTGTTGTGTTGAGTCAGCTTGTTTACGGCTCAGAATGCATGGAAGACTTCGTCAAGGATCACGTTATTACCCATATGAAGAGTGATGATTTCTGTGAAATATACCAAACTTTTGTTTGTTTAGATAAATTCGAAGCAGAAAAGAAGGCATTGGAAAGGATGTCTGAAGGCAAGGCAAAAGATGCAGAACTTGCAGATTTACGAAGGAGAGCTTTTCAATTTCATCTTGATCAATGGGATACTGTCAGCATAATGGATTATTTTGCAGTTGCAAGTGTATTCAATGTTGAAATTTATGTTAAGAGGGGAGAGGAATATAATCTTTTTCTTCCTACTTGCAGTAGTTTCTCTAAAATATTTTCCTCGCCAATCTACCTAGAAGAAGCATCCAGCATTGCGTTGATTCCTTTAGTGAATCACAACAGTTGTGCATGTGTTTGTCGAAAACCATTAATATCCGGCCGATTACCAATTTACCAAGAGATGGTCGAGGATTATGTCATGAAAAGACTTGGTAAGTCTTGGTCAATAAATTTCTTCATATTGAATTTATTCTTATGATCATTTCATAACTTTTCTCATTGATTGTTCTTTTTTAGCTTTGGAACCATGCTGCCCTGTTGGAAGACACGGCACTCATAGGCACTTCTCTGCAATTCAAGATTCTCAAATTGTCCCCAACGACCAAATTTCCTCCTATCAGATTCCTTTGGATAGACACGTAGAAAAAGTTATCGAAGTGTTGGATACACAAGGAAGAAAACTGGATCAAATAAATGGTGGAAAAGGTTCCGTAGAACAATGCCTTAGCAAAGAAATTTTTGGAGATGAGAATAAAGTTTCATTATTTGAGTCAAGGTAGTAAACAAGCTGATTGAATATTTATCTTACATGTCAATCCTCATACAATAATCAGATTAAATAATTATGATTTATCAGAGATCAGGTGGATATCTGTATTGATTCTATACCTAGAGCCTTAAATGGAGTTCATATTGTTGATGATCGAATAGCAACACCATTTTCAGCACAAATGGAATAACGTATATACATGTAAAACCTATCTAAAACTATTTGCAATTTCGAGTCCAACAAATTCTCTTTTTCTCTGCGTCCTTTACAACAGTATTTTCTTCTGCTGATGTACGATAGTATATTTTATTACCATGTGATTTTAGAATATAGTTTCTTTCTCATTATTTTTTGTTTAATCACTGATTTTCTTCCATTTCTTTCAGGTTTTGTTTGAAAAAAAACAATGAAACCAGAAGAAATATTGGCAGTCGTTGCAAATTCAACAGAAAAGCCGGTGTTTGTTTTTAAGTATTTTCCAGAAAATTATTCATGGAGCATGATTGCGCCTAACTCAGCAACACCAGGAGATAACTGCTGTCGATATTACATCACCATTTTCTACAATGGACTAACCGGATATTTTGATAGAATTGTTGCCAGAAATGGATGCAACTGTAAATTACCCTCACCTGCAGTTGATGTCAAAACTAAAATAGGTAATCTATGCTAGATTGACCCTCTAAGTTTCAAATTTTCCTGTCCACGCAAGTACAAAGAATAATTGGAATCATTTAATCTTTTACTTAATCTTAATAAATTTTAAGAGATATGCCCATTTGGATTTGGAGAGCTTTTTTTCTATATTACAATAAAGTAGTATTGAACATATATTAAATATTTATCGCGTACTAAGATCGATGAAAATCCATGTACTTAGCAAAAATTTATTTTAAGGTAAATCATTTTTTAGATCTTAAACGAGACGAAAAGAAAATTCTCGTGGCAAACAGACATAGACCACTCCTGACGTTTCTATCCGATGATGTTATGATAAGCAAGGACTTATTTACTGATGAAATTAGACGTGTACCGACAGTATTTTCAAGATATTCAGATATCCCTTTGTTAACAAGTAGGTACGATATGCAGGATAAGGAAATAGATTTTATGTCCGATTACAGCTACTCCTTGTGTAGATGTGTAAGCAAGGACATTTTTGGAACTGAAAATGAATTTGAACTTGTAATGAAGGAAATTGTGAATGAAATTCGTAAAGAGCCTCACTTATATGGTAAATTTATGCGATGGGACAAGGACGAAACAGAAAATGAAGAATTTTTGAAAAATTTTACATCAAGAAAAAGAAAGAAACTAGACTTCTTCAAGAGGCAGACGACTGTTGAAAAGGAACAAGCACTTTTTTATGCTAATCGAATAGAGGATGGAATGGAAATGGAAGATTTAGAACTCCTTGCAATAGCCACATGTTTCCAGGTTCCAGTATTCGTAATTTGCGTTGAAGAAGACAAAGGAATAATTTCAACATCCTGGAAGGAATTTACACAGCTAAGAAGAAAGCACAGACCGAAACACATTAGAAATATTGCACGAGAACATTGTTGTAATAAAGATGGCGATGGCTTTAGCAAATTTTTTATAATGGTGTATAGAACTTTTTCAGGACATTTTCATCGAATAGTCAAAAAAAATAAAATTTGCAATTGTTTGATAGACCAACCTACAGTACCGGAAATTGAATACCACAGAGTAAGCAGAGCAGGTGGGTAATTGTTAATAAGTATTCATTGAAATTTGTATCATTTTTAAAAGGACCGGTGTTCTATTTCTAAAATCCATATATTTTCATTTTTAGATGAAAATATCTTTGCAAAAATGAGGAGTATAGAGAACAGACTCAGCCCTTGACAATTGGATACGATGTAACATGGCACTTGAAATTCTTTGCACAGAAATTATTGATGGGTTAGAATGCAGAAGGAAAAATGTCAATATCGCATCAATCGTTGGTTCTTCTGTGGGTCTGGTGGGGGCCGCCCTTGCTGTTGGTGGACTTGTAGCTGCTCCGTTCACTGCAGGGGTGTCACTTGGTCTAACAATAGCTGTTGGAGTCGTAGGGGGAATGGGAGGTGTCACGTCAGCAGGATCAAAAATTTCAGAGTTTATTTTAAATAAAGCGACCGTATCCCAAATGGAAAGATACCAAATGAATTTACGAGAGCGATCGCGATGTCTTGAAAAATCCATCAAAGCTGCTGAAAAAGAATTGAAAGATCTTTTAGAGGCTGAAGATTATGTTGAATGCATGGATAACAACGCCCTGGAAATAGCAACATCTGCACTTAGATCGCTCACTGTTGTCCCAGTGATTTTGCTACGAATTATTGCCAGGGTCATTTCTTTTCCAGACATGATTCTCGTTCCCCTTTCTGCTCTCCTTGATGCAGGAATTCTAGTGTTTTCCATATATAATCTCGTTAAAGGGTCGCGGACGAGAGAAACAGAGCGGTTAAGGACAATCCGTACCATGCTTAAAGTTTCAAGAGGGCAAATGCAGACTTGGGGATATGGAAACCAGAAAAAATGGGAAAACAAAATAAATGATATTCCTACAAATCCCAACACTTAGTAGCACTTTCGATTGATAAATGCGAATAATATCGATAGCTACGAAAATCATTTGCATTAAATAAAGATTACAATACTATTATGATAATAATGAACAATCAATGAACATTATATAGTTACATGTATATCGAATAATTTGATTTTTGTGTTCTTTTTATCATTTTGCTTACTTATTATTTAGTTAAATAGATAGGATTGATATATCGTTTTTGAAATAAATTCGAGATACTGTTTTATTTCGTTGATCATATCTTAGTCGTAAATTTTTTTTTTCTGTATGAAGATCTTCGGAAATTGAAAAAAGTTTACTTTGATTTTTTTTATCGCAAATTATATTGTTCTTTAGCATTACAAATACTGAGAAAAACATACTAATATCTTTTATCCTTTCCCTCTTGCCTTTGTCTTTCAGGGAAATCGTCTAAGCTAGCTAGCTAGCATAACACATTTTTACGTTGAAAAAACTTTTTCTTGAATTTAAAATAAGCTTTTCTAGTTAATTCGAGGATTTTTAATGAAAACACTTTGGATTTCAAAACTCACCTCAACTTTCCCTTGTCCTAATACTTTTTTTAATTAACCATACAGGTTTATGATTTGCGGGGCCGTTTGTATACCGCTACCAAATATAAGCACTATAAATTTTAAATAAAGTTTTATAAAAATTTATACAAAGTCCGAAAAATTAATTTAGACAGAAAACCAGTGATTTATATTAAGTCCGAAAAGTCATACTGGACTCCATGACATGCCTATGTAGTGTACAATGATGAATCTTTCAAATGTGTAAACGATTGTAAACTAATGTGAAAGATTGAAACTATTTCTTCCCTTTAAAAAAATAAAAGTTAGATCTTTTTCATAAGAAACCCAATATGCTGTTTTGTAGAACCTTAACATTTTGTCTCTAAATATATCGTGTAGATGTTCTTCATTGCATCCATACTTCAAATTTTATTCCAAACTTACCCTGGGAACGATAATTTTATAGCTTTTGAACACATATACTCGTCTACTTATATCAATAAAGATGATCATTTTCAAGTTGAACTTAATAAAGAACTTTTTACTCATGCCTGTATTAAACATATACTCAGTTCTGTATGTAAACTTTACACTGCAAGATTCCTATTTTAGCGGCTTTGGCGCAAATAACGATGCTCTATCTCGTAAATACCGCTAAGAAATCATTATAAAATTTAATATACAGTGCAGGCATGTGTAGCGCTAATTTACGATTAGGCCAACGCCTCCATATATAGTGACAGGAAAAAAAATGAATAAGTACTTATTCAACCATTGTGTTCTAAGAGTTCTAATTGAAATTACTGATAAGATAATCTCTGTGGTCATTTGGTTTCATGAGCTGATGTTTTCTTACATGTAGCTATAGTTTATCGTAAACAGCATGCATATAGACAAAAGGAATATGTCACACTCTGAACTATACACAAAGTACGAGAGTATAGTCAATTAAAGTGCAGTTAGTATATATAGTAATCGTATAGCAGATATTTTAAGTTTTTGGTGTCAGAGGATACAAACAAAAATGGATGCCTGGGTTGGTGTTTTGGACATATTATGGTTGTATATACAATGGCTGGAACGTTATTGTTGACAACTTACACGAACGATCACGTTACACGCACGATTCCGCACGATTAACACACGATTAAACCTGATTCATGAACGATCTTTCACGTTAAACGATTCTACACGTTACACGATCTTACACGATTGCTAACGCAAACGCACGATTTTTCACGCAAAATTGTTCAAATTAAATAGGAATCGATATTTCCAAAATGAAATACGGCTTTATATTGATTTTAGATTCAAAGAATTATCAATAAATATATTATATCATCGACTTTGAAATAAAAAACAGAAATGGGTATTTCTGGTACTAAATACATGTAAGATTTTTTCATTATTATTTTAGATAATAAATATTTTTTTAGATAATTCGTCGACATAAGAAAACGGATTTTTTGTTCTATCAGAAGATAGTAGAAGGTGGACCGTAAAATTTGATTGAATTGGATTTCATAATATGTAGAATGGGGGATACGATTAGGAAAAAAATGGCAGCATGGAATGACTTAACTTAAAAGTTATATCTATATGTTTTCATTACTTCAAAATGCTTATAAATATCTAAAACATGAAAAACGACATTGCAAATTATTGTTTTACTTTAAAAATTAATTAAAAGTAAGCTACAGAGATAAACACTGTTAAACAAAACCCCAATAATCATGTGCGTGACGTGCATGTACATTCGCCGACTAAACATTTATGTTAGCTTTGAAAATATTTAGTTATTTGTAAAAATACTTTTTTTCATTATTTGAAAAATTGAAGAAAAAAAAATATCTCACCACAATTGGCAGCAATCTTCAGAAAAATATAGAAAAACATCTAAGTACGGTATATCACAATAAGTCACGCTATTTCACGAGAACATAATATTGTACGACTAGTAACGGGATGTTTCGCGCCTATGCATGGTTCGCACCGCGATGTTTCGCGCCGATTCTGTTTCGCGCTGAGATGGTTCGCCCCGCGATGTTTCGCTCCCAGAACATGAAATGTATGTTATTTATTTCGTTCGTTTTGAAAAAGAATTAAAAATTAATAAAGTATGATATCTGTGAATATTGATGTAAGTATCGAAATTTTGGCGAATATTAGTTTATATTTTAATTGTAGAAGTTTATTTGAAGTACTTAGTCTAATTGTTTATTATTTTTACACTCTGATAATTATAATTATAGTAGTTACTTTAGCATACCACCATCTAATTAGGTAATTCTGTAATTATTGCCGGCTTGGGGAACCTATCAACGTAAATTTGCTGGCTTAGAGAACCTATCAACTTAAATTTGGAGACTTAACAGCATTTCAAATAAAAAATAAATTTAAAAATCTTATTTCACGTAAAATTCACTGAAACTTCAATTTTGAATATTTGAGAATATATAACTTTAGATATGTGTCTATGCACCTATAAAAAAAAGTTGGTGATCTAGATTGTTTAAATCAAATATCCCTTTTGCATTTATAAGCATAAATTCTTTCAAATTTTATGTCAACATTTCTATGTTACTGCATGTGCGCAAAGTTTGTCTGCCCCCCTTTTTTGTCCATGTATATTTTAATAGTTTCCCACAAAAATACTTTAATTTCGGTTTTAAAACTATAGAGCCTGATCTCATGAATTTTGAAACATATCGACATGAAAATACAATATTTTATGATTTGTTTAAATGAAAACAATTACATGAAATGTATGTTATTTATTTCGTTCGTTTTGAAAAAGAATTAAAAATTAATAAAGTATGATATCTGTGAATATTGATGTAAGTATCGAAATTTTGGCGAATATTAGTTTATATTTTAATTGTAGAAGTTTATTTGAAGTACTTAGTCTAATTGTATATTATTTTTACACTCTGATAATTATAATTATATTAGTTACTTTAGCATACCACCATCTAATTAGGTAATTCTGTAATTATTGCCGGCTTGGGGAACCTATCAACGTAAATTTGCTGGCTTAGAGAACCTATCAACTTAAATTTGGAGACTTAACAGCATTTCAAATAAAAAATAAATTTAAAAATCTTATTTCACGTAAAATTCACTGAAACTTCAATTTTGAATATTTGAGAATATATAACTTTAGATATGTGTCTATGCACCTATAAAAAAAAGTTGGTGATCTAGATTGTTTAAATCAAATATCCCTTTTGCATTTATAAGCATAAATTCTTTCAAATTTTATGTCAACATTTCTATGTTACTGCATGTGCGCAAAGTTTGTCTGCCCCCCTTTTTTGTCCATGTATATTTTAATAGTTTCCCACAAAAATACTTTAATTTCGGTTTTAAAACTATAGAGCCTGATCTCATGAATTTTGAAACATATCGACATGAAAATACAATATTTTATGATTTGTTTAAATGAAAACAATTAGGTTTTTGAATGAAATAAATTATTTTCCGACTCCTGGGATGTATTAAATTAATATAGGAAGAGGATGGTGCTGAAAATCTAATGAGGCAGTTGTCTCATAGCTAGCTACGTCCTTGTTCTTAGGGAAATATAGAGATGAAAGGAAAAACAATTGGCCATTTATAAAGCCTAGTTTATCAAATAAGAAAATGTTTAGCTCATTCTGGTGAATTATTCTATACACATGTTCTCAATAACACAATTTTTTTTGTTTTCAAGTTCACGCAGATAATTGCTGTACGACTTTATAATTGCTGTAATGAAATAATTCTCACCTTTTGATCTCCAACTAATTGATCTACAACTAATTATAATTAAATAGTTGAACACACACGCTAAGCAAACGGGCACCATATTAACATTTACGATCCGTTACCAGTGGCACTGCATATTATAAAGTCATGAGTCTGAGCATACAACATATTTATATCTAAGATTTAATAAATGATCTTAATTTATTACAAAATAAATGAAATATTAAACAAAAGAGGGGAGATGTTTCGCACCGAAATCGGCGCGAATCATCCTGGTGCGAACCATCTCAGTGCGAAACAGAATCGGCGCGAAACATCCCGGATTCGTACGACTTACTAGATTGCTTGTTTACAAGCAATAGTTAGTTCGTTCCGCATTCAATTATGTAAACTGCGCTTTATTTCTTTTTATTTTGATTAACAATAAAATATAAACGAAATACTTGTTTCACAGACAACATTCCGATAAAAACTTACAAAACGGAATTTACACGTTTCTAAACGCCCGTTCACGCACGATTAAACCCGCAAACGACTGAGTCTGTTACACGCACGATCTCGCACTTTACACGAACGATCACGCACGATGCACGAACGATTCTACAAGATTGGTTTGTCAACAATAACGTTCCAGCCACTGTAATGCAAATTAAGGTATAAATTGCTATGATATTGTTAACTTCCTAATGATGTTCAAAATTTTACCTTTCTTCAGCCACCCTTTTCTAG